AAATATAATTGCACAGTCTCTTACATTTCATTGATCTCCATGTACTTCATATCTGGAGTGAGGCTTCACTTAAACCTTTTCTAAGCTCTGAATTGAACATTTTAACTCCATTATTATTCCTGGCGCTATATGATGTTTGGTCATTTATCTGGACTAAAGATGGTTTTTTGTTCAGAGACCTACTTTGCTGTAATCCACATAGGAGAATATGCATGTTCTCTTTAGACTCAAGGTACTTTGAAATTCAGGTTAGAAAGGGAACAGTAGGTCAGAATTGGCATAGTCTTAAAGGAGAACCTTTTAATCTAACTAAAAGCTTGTAGCTCGCTTCATGTATAATTGAAAACAGTATAGGTTCTCCTAAATATTTGAAGATACTAATGGATTTAAGTGAAACTGAATGAAAGGGAAGTCAGCACAAAGTTTCAGTTCTCCATCTAATTTTGTTACTTGCCATGCTAGTTCGCAACAGGTTCAAGACTGTGGCTTATGTTTTTCCTTTCACTGACAAGGTGTTGCATATCCTTCAGTGTGCAGAAAAACTTTGCAATCCTCTGCAGGGGACACTTCTTCACATAAAGGCCTGAAATTTATTTATCTAATAGATCTTCAGCTATATCACTGTAACAAAGTCTAATATATGGCAGTATGGTGATGCTAATTCTGGTAACTGGCTCCATTTTAGGATGTCACATACCCTAGTCCAGACCACACTGCCACCTGCTCCAACCATGTGCTGTACTGTCCAGCTGCAAGCAATTCTTGGCAGGGAACCAAGTGTCTGCATTGGGCTTGATGCTGTGCTAACCTGTAAGTCTTGAGCAGAGTTGCATAAATTATCACAATAATCCTCTCCTATTTATTATTATCATCTTGCACTCCAGGTTGCTCTTGAGAGATGGGACTTATTTGCTCAGTGCTGTGCTAACTCCCTCTATAGTGAGAGAAACCTGTTCTTTCTGGAGCGAATAAAACTGTGCGGCTTCTGGTCCAAAGCTGATGTGCAGTGAGGTACTCAGGCAAGTCAGAGCTAACACTATGCGCACCTGACTGTGAAGCATCTTCTAAGCATCTGCTTTTCTTTATTCTCTCAGTCATGGAGAGAGATAAATCTTACAGATACCTCTTTAAAGGTTCAGAATAAAAATATATACATTATAGCTTAATCTTCTAAGAATTTGTGCCAACAGATATAGGACCACATTTGTAAGCCCTAATTGACACCTGTAGGTTAATTTTATTATGCACATAAAAGGTTCTGTGGACATTAATTTCCACACACATAAATGGCTGGCTTTGAGTGCGTGTAAGCTCCACCTCAGAACTTTTCAGATATGGCAGTGCTCTTCCCAGGCTAGGGCTGGCTTGGACCTAGGTAGCCAGGAGTGCTGGCTAAAGTTTGTGTCCATTTCTACCTGAGCATTTAGATATGCTGATGCAGAGGTGGAATTCTGAAAATGATATACATAAGGTTAGCTCCGTCCTAGCTTCCCCACTATTTCATTGCTTGTAACCCCTTTAAATTATTTGTCTCCCCTTAATAATTACTAATAAAAAAAAAGACTTTAAGGACTTTGATTTAAAAAAAAAGAATGGATATGAACACAAAGTTTGACAGATGGAGAGAACACACTTATTAATCAGAAAACCTTCTGTGGCTAAAGCTTAGTAAGAATTTTTCATAACAGTTACAGGAAAAGAGTTTACAAACAATTTAATTTTTTTGTATTGATAAGGGTTACAGATTTTATTCTGAATTTTAGACACATTGAACACCTTTTATTCTTTTATGCTTAGATATGCTCTTAATGTGTGGCATATCAGCTTGAATGTTTACATATGATCTGACATGGAAAGAGTCTTACAATTTGTAAAACAGTATACTTATCACTTATGCTTGCTCTAATGATGACAGTGATTCCAAACTCAGTCTGGGGAGCCATAGTTTTGAAATAGCTCACAAGATATGAACCTCCAGAAGGCATTTAGAGCTCCTAAGCTGGATGTCAAACTTCTAGATAGCAAATCTCTTTTCATATAAGATACATCCTTATGGAGCAGCAGGAGGTAAAGAAAAGCTGAGTTGCACAAGTCTGTCTGGAAAGATATGCAGGCTTAAAATACATAATGATTTACAGAATCAAAAATTGCAGAGCATTTGCAAGCATAAAACATATGACTGTATTATTCTGATTCCGCAAAAAATGTAAATTTAAGTAAAAAGTGCTATTTAAATCAATGCATTTAATTTTAAGCATAGTGAACAGGTCTATTTGTGATCTTACATTTCATCCTTCCGAGCAAGGTATCTTTGCTCGGTGTCTTTAAAAAAGCAGACTAGCAACAAGACTCCCAAGAAACTTATAAATGGAATCAGTGTCTGGAATGTAGTGAAAAGGAGTTTAATAGCAACTGAAAGCAGAATTTTCCTACTGGTGAAACTAAGGCAAGAGGTGCATGAAGCTTTACAATTGTAATATGGTAAATATGCCATATGCTTTGAGAAAGACTCCTTGTCATTTGTAAACAATCTTTACAAGAAAAGTCTACATTTAAATATACAGTTTCCACGATCTGTCATAATGATATGTTTTCCTTTTGGTGATTACATATGTTTACAATGATAGAGCTAAAGCTTTGGAACTAAAAATTCAGTAATGGAATTTGTGGTACTACAAAAGTCAGACAAGGGAAGACTAAAAGGAGTTTAGTGTCAAGAGTAAGAAAATCAAACCAAGAGTGCTTTGTGCTCTCCTGAATAAAAGTTTATATCAGTCCTTTCATGTAGTGTATCCCCATGCAGCACCTTAGTGCTGAAATCAGATATTACAAGAAAAAAGTCACACGTGCTGAAAATGCAGATAAAATATCTGTAGTGATCTTGAAGGTAAATTAAGATGTAGAACTGGAGTATAACATGGTGACATCATTTGTTTTTTGCTTTAAAAAGAAAGAAAAGAATCCAAAATAATTTGGCAGGTTGTTACAGAATGTGACTGATGGAAATAATCCTGATGAATTTCACCATTGCATAAAGCTGTGGCAATAATATTAGGTTCAGGCTTTTGAGTCCTAGTGATTAAAAGAAATGGAGAGGTCAAAAATTGAAAGCTGCTCTTTCACAACAGAAATAGACAGCTCAATACTTGTAGCTGGATCTTAATTAAAATTGACAGATTGACAAAAATTTTCTAAGTGGAGCTACAGTTCTTTAAAAACCCAGTTGTGCAAAAAATGAGTGTTATACATATACTAAAAAGATGTAAACAATGAAAGAGCTAGTTCAAGCTGACAGGAGAAAAAGGAATGTATTCAAGCTACAGAAAGTGTATTTCACATTCAATGTCAAGAAGAGTATTCTAAACTAAATGCAAAAAAGGAGAAAAAAGATTTCTAAATCTTGACTATTAAATTCCAATATTATTAATCACTACTGGCCTTATGACCACTCACAATGTTATCTAGTTAAGGACCGCACTAGAAAAGTATTAGGACAATATAATATCCATCTTTTCCTTTGAAAATGATCTCCATAAAAACAAAAGCAGAACTGCAAATACTATGCATACTGCTGGTTATTTCCAGTCACAAAATACCACAGTCTGTAAATAAGGCACGCCAAAGGCATGCAACTGTCCTGCTCTAGGGGGAAAAATACTGAAGTCATCATCTTTCTCAAGGACATAAAAGTTGGAGAAATTCTTGACCTTTTAATAAGCATGCAATACCTCTGGATGTCACTTATACATTCATCATTTATACATTCGTAACACCAGAAAAGGAAGATCCTTTAATTTGAATACGCCTAAAGTGTCTGCTCTTTTTCAGATTATGTGTTTGGTTTGGGGAATTCTGGTTGCTGGAAAGCTCTTCTGACTTGCCCAGAAGGGCTCTGCCCTGACTTCCTGCATTACTCCTGCCTGCCTGTCCTTGCTGACCAGAAGTCACAGTGTTTCATGGAGCAATGTGCATTTCCTCACTTCCTTCAACGAGCAAGCTGGTTACCTCTAGGCAGACATAGAAACAGTCAGCCACGTCTACTTGTTCAGCTACAGATGTCACCCTCGGCTGTAAACTGGGGGAGAGGCAGACTGGACTGGCACATTTCATAAATAGCAAGTACTAAAAAGTGTCTCATAAAGTCAAATAATTTCCTGTTTATAACTAGGAATTGTTAACGCAAGTTGCATGTACTGAGCATTTAAACTTACCTAGTTTTGCTATTCTGGAGCATAAACCAGGAGAAATGTCAGTCAAAAGTTCTTCACCAGTGCCTACTGGTGACTATGCTTTGTGACTTGTTTTTTGTTGTGGTTTTTTTTTTTTTTTTTTTTTTTTGATTTTTTTTTTTTTTGTATTTTTTTCTTTAATAAAGTAGGAGACCTTGTTTTTATGCATGAAAATAAAGTACTATACATACCCTTCTGTTGTAACTCCAGTCTACAGCTGGCTTTTTACAGGAGATTTTGGAAATATTGCTAGAAGTGTTTTGCTAAGCTTGACTGCATAGCAGGAACCATGGGGATTGCCCAAACATAACATATACAGAACACTGTGCTGCCATCACACAACCGTGTGTACTGTAAGTCTGTGTGTCAGTCATTCACTCCAGAAACACAAAGAAAGGAGTGGAGAAAGTAGCAACCTAACACTTTCAAAACCCAAACAGCATTATTAGGAAACTTCTGGGTGAAAGTGCTTTTGATCTGGACAAACGTACCTGGCATTGTTATGAGACTCTGAATAAGTAAACAGGACTTTGCCTGTGCTTTTTGCATGCCAGTAGCTTTATGAATAGTCAGTTTAAAAGATCATTGCTATGGGCATTGCATAAATAATTTTATATACATAAATACATATGTATATATATATTATCTATGTGTGTGTGTAGGTACCAATGCATGTTAAATAAGAGCCCTAACCATATTTAAAAAACCCATAGCTTACTCTGAGACTTATTTTCTAGGATAAACTATATTTTTAATTAATCACTTCAGAAATCAAAGCTGTTCATGACCTTTTAAAATGACTATAAAGATACAGCACACTGTTAGATTAATAATGTTTTTTTCCCCCTCCACTGCAAGCAAAGTTTAGACAGTTAGCTTTCATACTTAGAAATAATTATTAAGCTTTGATTTAATTTCTTAAAAGTTCATAATTAGGTCTTTTGATTGTGAACATTTTTTTGGTTGTTAGGTCAAAGTAATCAAGTAACTATGTGCAGAAATTAACATTTTTATCATATTAGATTATGTATTGTAGTAGTAAAGCTAGTTTGAAGTGCATGAAAAAAAAGTGAAATTACAGGAAGAACAATCTAATATAGCAATACTAGGTGCATTCACTGTGCATCTTGGGAGGGGCGGGGGAAAAGAAGAGTTTTCACTCATTTTGGCCTAAAATGTGTTCAGGTTTCCAGGATTCTGACATCAGAACCCAGATAACGCTGGCTAGAACCATAGGGCTTTACAATAAAAGCTAAAATATTGACCATATGATGGCAAAAAGTCTTTATTTTGCGGTTAACTTATTCTCTTCTAGCTACTCTCTGATGAAGTTGGTGGTGCTGTGGAGGATGATCTCCTTCTTCTTGACAAAGATCGTGATCGTTCAGCACTGTAGGCAACATGCTTATCGTAATTTTGTATCTGAGCCTCGAGGAATTCCCTCTGTTGCTGGCTGATTGTCTGGCTAATCAGTCCAGGAAGAGCTTGAATGCTACCAATTAAAGTTTCCAGTTTAGTTTCCAGAGTAACAATTCTCTTCTCAAAATCTTCACTTCTTTCATTTAAGTCAGAAATCATGTCATACATGATGTTTTGAGTCTGAAAGTAGAAGGATGTAAGTAAAGGTTTAGAGAGACCTCACAAGTATTCTAACAAGTAGCACAACTCTACAAGGGTTTGTGAAACAGGATATGAGTATTATAACAACACCTAATTTTGTGAAATAATTTTCCCAGCAGATTAAATTACAGTAGACTAAACTTTCTACTAGATTTCTTGAGCAGAAACATAATGGCTTTTAGTAGCACTTTAGACGAAATTGAAATCAATTAATGACCAGACCCAGACCCTTTTTGGAAATTCAGATGCTTGGGAGTGTACCAGGCTAAGCCTTTTGAACAGTCAGTGTAAGCCACCAGGGGTCTGAAGGCTCCACTGATGTGTTTAATCCTTAACTGTTGTTGATTCTGGTTTTAAATACCTTCATTCTTCTAAGAAGAGCACAAATGTTGTTCATTGCCTTGCTACTTAAATTTGGCAGATTTTCTTGAATTGGTAGTAAGAGGAGTTGAGTGGATTGTTTTTGGAAAGTAGTGCAAAGAGTAAAAACTCAATTGTATGCTTTTCTACTTTTGCACGCTCCAATCTGTCTGGCCTCTACAAAACACTGCTGGAATGCAGCAAATACATAGAGTGTACTTTAAAATGACACAATGGTCAGTAAAAATGTGTAATCTGAAATGTGTTGTTTCATAGAGTCTTAGTTAAAATGTAAAGGGTGAATGTCTGCCTCTTATAGATTGAGGCTTCAGATTATTTAAACTGGAGTCAAAACTGGATGCAATTCAGTATAAAAATCAGTTGAAATTTATGAACCATCCAAAGGAAAGAAAAAATAATTGAATGGCTGCCTGAAGTGTAAACCACTTCAGTATCAGGTGGGTTATAACCTATTGCTCTGCCTCCTGCTCCAGGATGCTAGCATAACCCTTGAAAGTGAAGTAGTCTAAACAAAATAGTATATTAAAAGCCCTTATTAGTTGCCAGAAGCATTAGACTGAATTGCATTTTCACCTAAAGTTGTCACGTAGCTCTGTAAAGCAAGAGGGGAATGAACATTGAAGAGTTTAATCTTTGCTTTGATGCACTTGAAATTGAGCAGGATTCTGAGGAAAATGAAGAGGTGTACAAGAAACCCTTAAGAAGAGCCCATCTATGCTTCTAATGTAGCCTCAAATTAAGCTCACAGTAACTGTTAAATATTAAGTTCTAATGAGAAATCCAAAATGGTAACAGCTCAGACCTCTAGCTTTCTAGTTATTACATATTTATGAAAAATTCTAGCAACAATAAACAAGCAGCTCACAACTGGATAGCCTCTTTTACCTCAACTGAAATGGTTTGAAAAGGATTTTAAAAGTCTTATGATATATTGGCAAAGTAGGCAGCTATAATTCATTATAAAAACTTAAATAAATGCAGATCTAAATTTACTTCTCCAAAGTTACTGCTGCATAAGACAGCAGGAACAGGAATCCAGAACTTCTAACTCCAGTCTAGAAGCTATTTACTATGGTCTGTCATGGCACAGTCGCTAGCACCATATGGCAAATTCTTCTTACTTCACAGCACTACACCACTACGGCCCACTCACAGTTCAACATTTACCATGACCTCTGCAGTCAGCTCAGGAGCTCTCACGATCAGCCTCTCAATTGTGAAGTCTTTTTCAAATGTACAAAAAATAAATAAATATGGCACATTCAAACTTTCATCAGGATACTTTTTCAAAATGTAGGTGCTACCACAAAACACACACATATTTTCATTTGCTACACATAACACCTGTTAACAATATTTGCACATATAATGTATAACATTTTCACTTAAAAACTGTTCATTTTGAAAGGATGAATGTTGAAACAACAGTAACTGCCTACTAACCTTTGCCAGGTCCACCAAAGTGTTGGCTTGATCATTCAGTTTCCTTTGTTCCATTTTTACACTTCTTAATCTAAAAAGTGGAATTTTAAGTCAGATTTTCTTTTGTATGAGGTCATACTAGGATTTCTAGAGAGCATGCACAAAACTTACGAGAGCAAATAACTGCATGGACAATGCCTTGACTACTTTGTGTAGAGTCAGAATCTTTCATGTGCCTGCTACAATGAGAAGCATGCTTCTTCAACACGGCAAAAAAGGAAAGAGCAAGGAAATGTGATGTCCTTGAGAATACCATTTGCCATGGTCAAAGTTGAATTCAATAAAGAAGATAACAATTTATCCAGACTACATGAAAGAAAGCCAAAACATTCCTCAAAGCCTCAGTATCGTGACAAGTAGATATAGGAAGAAACATAGAACAACAGTTTTTTGTCATTATTGTTGTAGTAATCAAGAATCTTCCCATGCCTACGTGACTAGATACAGGTATTAACCCTGTTCTGTCGGAAATGGATTGGGTTAGCAGGTGTTGGAACCTGATGAACATACAGTGATAAGTGAGTTTCTCCTTACTTTAAACAGAACTTCCATCAGACCAGCAGCTAAATAACCAACATGCTTGCCAATACATTTGGTTTTTTTTTGGATAATTTGTGAATCTAAATATGATTACATTTTAAATTTACACCATTCTTTTTCAAAGCACTATTTAAACTATAGCATTGATAAATTATGAAAGAAGCAGCAAGGGTGCCTTTTTTACTTTGATGCATACCTATCTGCATTATTGTTGGTTATGCACATTTTTTGCAAGATACATGACCCTTCTTATAAATTCTCTGGTACGAATCCCATGTTTTCCAGATAGACTACCAGAAGAGTTGTTTGTAGATTTGATTTTCACAAATAGGCAATTTCTCCCTTAAGCACAATTCATTTGTTCAGCATCTCATAATAGATCCATACTTGGACTTTCAATGACTTTTCCGGCTGTTCTAGAGCAGGAAATAGGGTTTTGCAAAACCAAGGTATCAATTTATAAACAATGTGTGATAAGATACTACTTCAGTCTACCAGTGTGCCAAGGGCCAACCAAAATAACAATTTGGTTAGCTGTCAAATGGAAGTAAGTTTGGCAGCATTTTGTGACAGGCGGGTTGCTAATGCATTCTCTGCCCATTTCTCAGTGATGGTCTTACTTAGAAAGGTAGTTTAAAGAAAACCCTCTTGAAGGTATTCCAAAAACCAGAAAGTTTCTTTCATCTCTTTAGTTGACAAGCATTTCCTTTCATATCTAGGCTAACCGGTATGAGAAAGTAAGTTGTGAAATACCATTTAAAAATATCTTCAAAATATAAACGGAAATAACTCTGTTAAGGTAGAAATGAACTGATCACATAAAACTGGCATTCCAGGAGCTTGTTACTGGAATGCCATATGCTCTTCTTCCCCTGGAAGCTTCTTTCAGAGCACAACATAAATGCAGATGGTAGCAGTGGTGTTTTCAGAGGCTACAAGGTGGAGTTTTTCTAAAGCAAAAAATATGAAGGAGTCTCCAAGGTACAGAATTATATCATCACAATGTCAGAACAGAATAATTATTCAAAGGAAATTATTTCACTGGAGAATGAAAACCCCAGTGTTTTGGTGACCATTCTTTCAAATACTGTGCAGAATATGTGTTTTCTGCTTTTCTTAAGATTCACTGACTCATCTGTTTGACAATCAGTATTTTAATTTCAAAATTCCAGGAAGTTCATTATTATTGTAGTACCAGTTGACACCAACATGATAATTCTTCATGGTAACCAACGGAACACCTACCACAGGCTGTAAGAATGTATAGATATGGCAAGTCTTTAGCTGCAGCAGCCAGATTTGAAGAAAACCAAGAGACTTAGTATAATTAATTAAAATAAAATTTCGATTTTATGAACTTCACTTATCACAGAAAAAGATCATGATTCTGGATCGCATTTCCATGGCAGCAATCAGACCACTGAAATTCACAAATAAAAACTCTATTTTTTGCATGCAGACAGTGGTAAATTCTGCAAGTTTAGAAAGGAACAGCTTATACAACTTACTTCCGAGCTCTATTTTCATTTTGTTGAAAAAAAGACAAAACAAAAGAAAACAATGTGTAAAATATACTAAAACAACCAAATGAGCACAGTGGGCTCGATTCAGTAGGTGGAAAGTCCTAGGGAATTGCTACTTTTGATCAGTAGCTGCCTGAGGAGGAATCTAACTCACACTCATGATGAAGGAATCTGCAATATCTTCAAGCCTTCCAATTAACTACCACTTGTAGATTTTCTTATTCATACAATACATGACATGCCTTTTTTATGATTTCACCTTCATCTTATCTAATGTGCATGAGAAGCAGAACACCCAAACCAGCTGAACACATTTCAGAGCTGTGACCATGACTGCTATCATGATCTGGTCTGGTTTCCATTATTAAATTAGCCCTGAAATTCCACTCTTTTTATTTTTGTCTCCAGTAAAATGGTTGGAAGGTGAAGGAGGGGGACTGAACAAAACTCAGGAATCTGAAAAGATGGAAAACTGTAAGTCACTTGAGAAAAAGTGCAAAGATGCAAAAAATTTGCATCCATCTACAGGATGCATTTCCATCCAGCTACAGGAAAAAAGCAAACTGCTAGTGCAATATTTTCACTCATGGTACATTCTTCAGCATATTGAAAATTTATCTTTTTTTTTTTGTTTTGTTTTCCTGAATACAAAAGTTTTGGGGCTGTAGTGCAAAGTGCTAAAAGATAGAGAGAAATTATTGAGATAGCTGCGTAATCTAGCTGTCACACCTAGGAAAAAATTACTGATGCCACCCTCTTCCCTCCACCTGATGAATTAATTTTTAAGAGAGGTGCAGTATACACACTTTATATCCTGAAAAGTTCCCCGAGCTTGAGTGATAAAAAAAGCTGGAGATCGAGCCTGCTGTGCTTTTTAGATTCTTTTCTGAACATATGTGCTCATACACACACAGACACACAAACACACACACACAATAAATAGTAAGTTAAAATGTTAGGGAACAGCCTTTACAATCAAAGATTCAAGTCCAGCAAGGATGCACATGACATGCTATCCTCTCCCCAGAACCCCTGCCACTCCCCTCCACCTCCCAATCCTTTAAGCTAAGCAGGATGGCCAAACGGCTATATAAAAATGCACTTTTCATAGTCACATAAAAATGCCTCAACTTCTGTCGTCTTTTTATTCCTCAAAGTATCTCCACAATGACACAGTAACATTTAAACCTGCAAGTTTGCTAAATGTAATACAGTAAACAAGAATTACAGAGTAATTCATAGCTTAAGCTTAGCTACCTAGTACTTTGAAACATTGCTATGAAAGAGAGAATGATTTTTGGTCTAAATTTACTAATAGGAAATTAGCAAACTGGGCCTTTCCTTCCTGTCTTTCCTGTAGGATGCTACACAGATGTTCTTTTCATCATGGACACTTCCTTCACATCTCTTCACTGGTTGTCTCAGGCACAGACCTACACTCAAAAGTTATGAAACCATCAGTTTGAAATCAAATGTATCTATTTTTTCCCTGTAACTCATGGGAACTATCTTCACAGGCTGTACAAATGACTGCCTCAGGGTGAATCGGGATAACAAATCGAACAAACAGACCCTGACCATTCCTCAAAAGAATTCTGGTTCCTGAGGACAAAACACTGAGTTTTTTTCCCCGTCTCATGTAGTTCAGTAATAGTAACCACTGTGCAATTCTGCTCATTTGGATGTGCTTTCTGACAAATATATACTGTCAATGTTAGACAAATCCTTGTAGTTTGGCAATACCATGGCACAGCTTAACCCTACTACCAGTTTTAGGTCTCAGGCTTGTTTTCAGACTCTCAAGTAGAGGGGAAGAACTCATTTGAATAATGCCAGAGGTGCTCAACGGTCTCAACTATTGAAATACACTCCCATTTTCTAGAACAGATAGCAGGGGTTATAGCTGACATACCAACATTTGATCTTAAGCACTGAGAATATACAGTGGAGAGAAACAACTAAATGCTGGTGGCCATGAAATCATACTTGATGAATATTCTTTTCATTAAAACCTACATACATATTCTCTTCTATCACATCATTCTGATTTCAAAATATTAAAACATCTACTACAAAGAAATTTTTTTTTTTTTTTTTTAATTTTCTTCTGTCTATTGTAGCTCACATCTTTCTACCTGGAAGAAAATGCATAAAAACAAAGGATAGTCTCAGTGGCATAGAACAAAAAAAGTCTTAGATAATTCAAGAAGCATGGGAAACTTCTAAAAAACATTGACCATTTATATGGACATAAACTGCCAGTGTACCTTTTTATTTTATTGTAAACAGATAATACAGCAAATTATCTTTGACTTACTCTGAAAGAAAATCAACTTCCAGAAAAATCATCTACGAAAGAAAAGGAATGGTGGGGGGAGAGGAGGGAGGGGGCAGGACAGGACTAAAAGCGACTGAGAGAGAAGGAAACTAACAGAGAAAACACCTTGGGAGGAAAAAGAAAGCAAAATAGTACTTACTGATGAATAGCTTGCAAGAATTTGCGTTGATGTTTCCTTACTTTTGCATGGTCTATTTTTTTAACCAGCTTTGTGTTTTTATAAATTAACCATGTTTCCCTGAGTACATTGGCCGCTGCATTTTTCACCTGTTTAATAAAAGAAAAACACCAGGCTGACAAAAGTAGTCTTATGTTATGTTTTTACTTTTCTTTTATTAACTCTTCCTAAAGCTTTTGAAATGCTGTCTTAATTGTGGGAAATGGGTACCTCAAGAAGCTGCAGCACTGAGGGAAGAAAGCAACAACTGGATTAAGGGGACTGCTGAGCAGTTTCCTTTTTATAAAGATGTGGTGTTCAGATCAAATATTTTTGCACCCAGGAATAATTTTCCCTCTTCAAAGAGTTGGAACTGTTTGGTGTTTATGGCAATATAAATTGCAGTGAGGAAATACTACTGCATTATCTGTATGTTAATTAAGTGTATTCAATAGGACCATAAAATATCTTTCTTTCATGTTCTATGGTTAACACTTGATTCTTTTAGAAATTAAACAGTCTTTTAAACTTCCAGAGCTGTTTGTGCACTTGGTCCTTTTTTTTTTTTTTTTTTTTTTTTTTTTTTTTTTTGGGGTGGCATTTACTTTTTGTACTTGTTTCTTTTTTAACAATCTCCAATAAGATGAAAAAATATGTTGCCAATTAATGTGGGCAGAGTTCTATTTAAAAAGTGCTTTGACTTTTTTTTTTTAAATTTGGCTTTCCATAACGTCTTAAGTGTACCTACAGCTCTATTGTTAGGCCCTCCAAAATTTTCAAGAATGCTTAAAAATATACAAATAATTTGAATGCAATGTTGATTAATGGTTGAATGACTGGGTTACTTGGAAAGAAAAATTGTCCTAATTATTTGTCTTTATTTTCTCTCCCTCCAGCTTTACATCATGCCAGTAACTGCAGTGTCAGAGCTAAGTCAATGGCTAAGACGTTGCAGGAATGTCATGCAATAGCTTGGCCCAGAACAGGCTCCCCTACCTTGCACCTCTAAGTGTTGAAGAACCCTGTCCTATCTTCACTGAAAGCACAACCATGGTTTAGAGAACTCCTCACAATCCCTAAGTAGCCCTTGCACTTCCAAAAGGTATGACTATCATCAGGCTGTGAGGAAAGATCCCCAGCAACTGCATGATTCGTGATCTGATGTGCATCTTGGATTTCTTTGCTTGGCTCACTTTTCATATGCTTTGAGTTTCACAAGTTTAAAGCTCTGAAAGCACCACTTGAATAAAGTATTAGATTAACACTGAGATTTATATGAAGAATAGATGAATAAAATAAACTTCAAAAGGCATAAATAAAGACTAGACTCAAAATCTGGCCAATCTCTGAGACACATTTTGGGCTCAGCTGTCAGATAACCCTAGAAAAGTAACTGTGTTATGGAAGGACAAATTATTTTCTGTGCTCTAGTATCAACAACACCCTAACTGATTGCAATAGAAATCAACAAGCTCAGAGAGACACCTTGTCAGACACCCTCTACACCTATATAGGAACTGTCTTCCCACTCATCCTTAGTCTTTCCCTGCTGTGACTCCTTAGAGGAGATACAGGCTGTTAGTGGTGAGCAGCACAGAAATGAGAGCCAGCACAGCCAGAGCAGTGCTCTGAGAAGCTCAGCACGTGGGGACAGGACAGGGCTCTCTGCAGCACAAGCCCGCAGCAGTGCAGCGCTGCAGTGCTGCATGGAGCTGTGCTGGGGCGGCCATCCTCCTCCTCCTCGCCTGGAGCACAACTAAACCCTCCATCTCGGGCACTGACATCCCTCTGCACCCACCACGAAGGAGAAACTGCTGAGCTCTGCTGAGCTGTGATTGTAAGTGCCTTTGTCTTCACATTAGCTCTTCTCAATAATGGAGACTGGACAAGTTGAGTGGACTGTACAGCTACTACTCATTTTCTTGTTCCCTTAACACTGACCGGTTTTATTTCAGCAAAGGATTTGTATTGCCTTGTTTGCTGCATTTTCTTTCATTTAAAATATTTCCATCAATACCAATGATGCCTATTTTGTGAAAAATGGTCTCTTCTAAAAATAATATATACAAATACCTTTCAGGGTCCTTCAGTACTGTGTGCCACTAAATAAACTATGTGTTGTGTACAAAAAGCAGATGGAAAGACTGCCTCACTGTTATTGTTCATATGTTGTCAACATGAAAACATATGTTGTTTTCTTAAGAACATCTCTCCTAGCTGAAATTTTTTATCTGTCATTTTACCTATTTTAGATACAAATAGATATATTTTCATATGCCATGCAAAAGCTTTTGGTTTAATACAATACTCTGGTTTCACAGCACTTAACTGCTAATTAACTAGTTAACACCAAATACCTTCCAGTTACAAGGCACCTCTATACAATATTCTATATAAATAATTAAATTTGCTGACAACTTGCAGTTGCCCTCAACTTAAAGAAAAACTCAAGGCATCCAATTTCTAATTTTTCAAAATAATACTAATGATAAAGTTCAGCAAGGATACCAAGCAGGAGACTACTTAAAAACAAATGCAGAAAGAAATTAATACACAGTATTCCTTTTCAGTTGTGAATATAAAGTGTGACTTACTCTTTTAGTTAGCTGGGTGTCCATCATGAAATTATGCACATGTTTTTCAGCTTTGGTAAGTTCTAACTTCCTTGCCACCACAGCTACCACCAGTGCAGTGCACCCAGCACCCTGAAAACAATAAAACAAACCCCCAAGATGTTACTACTGCATTTTGCAGAGTTTTTACAGGAAGTTTCTCCTTTCCTGTAGAAGTATGGCAGACATCAGGTGATTAATCCCAGGTAAATACAGTGAAGTTACTACAGCTGTTTCATTTCAGAGTATTATGACAAGTCAGTATTTACAGGCTAGTAAACTATTAAGGCACCAAAATAATTAGTGAGCAGCATCACTTGAAAGTTCTGTTGTGGTTTTTTTGGTTTATTTTTTCCCTGCAGGGGTTGAACATTTGAGCATATCCCATTTCTAATGCATAAACAAAGGGAATGATAACACCAACTTTTTAAACCCAGTAACAGAGTACCCTGTTCTTAAAATTTTCTCAAGGTTGTAACAACTGTTGAAGAGGAAATAAGATTAGTTTAGTATTTAGCGCACACACACACACACACACACACACACACACACAAGAAAAGTTTCTTAGGATTTTCTGCAGGGCCTAAAAATAATAGTAAAATTAGTATTTACTCACTTTAGTATATTTTCCTGTTGTTCTGAGTCCTTCAGTGATCTTTTCCTATATTATTTCTGCTTATCTTATTACCATATAAAATACAACACATACACAGGACCATATCTTCAAATCTTGGATGGAGAAAATACCAATTTTCTAATTCATGCTGTGCATATGTGTGCAGATGCATGTATACACATGGACATGCATGTGCACAACAGGCAAATTCCAGAGGGTGTCTGTGTCTTTGGAATGACAGTGGCTTTATCAGCATCACAAATACAAATGGTTTTTATGGGGCAGATGAAAAGGAAAGGAGGCTAAAATGAGCCAGGTAACAAGCAGTGTCAATTTTATACATCTAGAATTATCATTACCTTTACAGAATTTATAAATTCTGCTGCTTTAATATTTTGTTTTAATAAAGAAATTTTTACAGCTTCTTTTTTTAAAAGGTATAAATATCTCATTAAATATGCAAGGCTACATTTAACTTGCAGGTTCATTCCAATCTAGCTGTTATTCACTTGTGTCAGTTACTCTTCAATATAAAGCAATCTCTCATTGCTTCTCATTGAAGCTTAGCATGTTTTGATACACAGAGCTTTCTTCTACTCATTCTGTATTTCTCCCATAAATTTATTCTCTATCCCCCACATCTGTAACTGCTTTACCCTCTCCAGAAAATCCAGAAGAAATCTCATAATTTAGCTTTCAAAATACAAAATCCATTAATAAAAACATAGAGACTGCAAAATAAATTAACTCATTGGAAACCCTTTTTACACAGAGAGTGTTAAAAAAAGCTGGATCTTGTCTCTCTGTGTACTTACTGAGGCATACAATGAATTCTGTGAAAGCCTTGAATTAATAATTTCTCCATTTCCCTGGTAGATTGTTCAAAAAAATCCATCCAATCTTCCTCTCATTTTCTCCAATTAGTGTTCATCTTCCATCCTCAAAAGCATTCCTTCAAATGAGCCCCTAATAATTTTGCTACATTTCCTGCTTATTTCCTGTCCTCAGTACTAAGTCTTTGTTTTTCTCTACCTCTCTGTTATCCAGTCTTGTGACAATGGAAGTTCATGGGAATTCACTTAAAGTTTTGCTCTCTCCATGAGTCAAAATGGTGCTCAAAGTTATTTTCCCTCTCTAGACCCCATTAACAATTAAAAAGAAAGAATACAGCCCACACAGCTTAAGGCTAAGCACTTCAGGAGCCCACTGAGCCTCCACTGAGAAGAGGACAAGGCAGAAGATGCTCTAACACATCCTACCTCCCTAGAAAACAGACAGTGCTCTTTAGGTCTTCTTCCTGTTGAGGGAAATCCTAATACGCAGAAGGCTTTTCTGTAGGCAATTAGATTAATAAATTACCCCATATAATAGCAAGGAAATGAAGATAAAAGCAGAGATCTTTTGGTTCAGTGTGTCAGGAAAATTAGGGCCAGATGTTGATTTAATGACATAACCAGAGCTCTGCCTGCTCACAGCAAGAAAGCTAGAATGGAAATGAGCTTATCAAAACAGACCCCACTGGGGGGTGGTTTAAAAACCACCTATTTAAGCCAATTTACTGGGGGACAGAAATACTAGATGGCTCTTTCCCAATCCCCCTCAAAAAGGGTAGAGGAAGGTGGCAGGCAAAAGAGCTTGCTTTGAAGCAAAATCATTCCAGCCTTTATGATTAAGCCATTTTCAATGTGGCACAGCAGCTGTAAGGGCCAAATGCTGTCAAAAGTAGGAGTTTTATGTCTCACATATAATTTACTGCCTGCGGTGTCACAATACTGTCACTGGTGAGCTGTGACAACCACCTCTATGGTGTATATGCACTGCTGTCTTCCTCATCTCCAGAACAGCTTGTTGTGATGGCAAGGTATTCTAAATTCAGTATAAACCTCCTGGTTTTGTGGTATATGATGGGATCTCAGGATAGGAACATGAGTTCTTCTAGTGTTTCTTCAGAAGTAGGAAGTATTATACTACCTGCATGTTTACATTTCACAGTATTGTAAGAAACTCAAAAAGAATCACTCATAGCAGCTTACAACAACAACTAAAATTCCACTTAAACTACATGATGCTGATAAATATTTTATGTTACAGCAACCTGCAATATTACATGGCCCCCCTAAAGAGCTCAGCATCCTTAAAAATACTCATAAAGCGAGAATGATTCAAAATTGCAGAAATTAAATGGAGGAAATATAGTTACTTTAAAAAATGGTAGCATTGTGTGCATGATACTTGCCATGTTTTTTGAATATACTGATTCATAGGAAAATCAGTAGGTCAGCTTACATGCTCAGTTTGTTACATCAGTACTATGCAATGCATCAGCTACTTATTTATTAAAATTACTCAATCTAAGTAAAAGCACTATTTCATCTGCAGGAGGGGCTTTCTAGAGAATAAGATTCTACAAAGTCTTATATTTGATTACTGCATTAACTTTCAACAGCATTATTTTTATCCAGTTTTGAAGTAAATAATAAAATAAATCATTGCTTCAAGCTCTTGTTCAGGAGAATTAAATGTAAGATGATGAAAATTAAAAAGGCAGGACCATATATATTTTCAGGTATCAAAGCATTAATCAATTCTATCTGGAATTCACACTCCTTAATCACCGGCCTGACCACTTCCTGCATTACAGAGTTTATTTTGGCTTGGTAAGCAGCCTGGTTTTAAGGGCACTTAGGACAGAAATTATTACAACACATGCAGTGTAAGCAAATTGATCTAGCCAAGGCTAAGGTCTGACTACATTGTTCATCTGCTCCACTTAGTGGAAACAGGTAATAACAGAATTAACCATTCATTAATTTGATGGTGTTCAAGTACTCTATGATCAAGTGTTTGTCAGCAACCACCCATTTTAGAAGCTGATTCTGATACCCGAATTCTGTTTTCCAGAAAGCATGTACAAGCTGAATGAAATTATCTACTAAAGCATGAGAAGCTCTTAAAGATCACAGACTGAAGAATAGGCAAGATTAGGGCTCCACTGATGAGCTGAGCAATGCCTATTTCCTGTTTGCAAGGATCAGAAGATGAAGCACATGAATTTCATCCTGAACACACATTATTTCTTGCTTGATATGAAGTGTAGCATATTTGTCTACAGTAAAAGCAAGAAGTCTGAAAATAACCATATCCACAGTCTTCCAGTGAGCAAATCAACAAACTCTGGACTTCACAGTGGCATCAGATCTCTGATGCATTGATGAGCAGTACAACCTTTAGCATAAGGTTCACAACCATTTACACAGGACAAAACTTGCCTTGATTGTCAATCTATTTAGCTGCTGTCGCTTATGAAAACAATTTGATGTGACTGCAAGCAACTTGAGGACATTCTTTGTATCACCTTTAATTCTAAATATGCTGCCCCTGTTAAGGCAAAGAATGACACCTAAAGTTCAAATGCTTATGCAGGTATGCAAGTCTGTGAAAGCCATTCTCCTCTCTAGCCCTTTGATGCCTAGAATCCAAAGTGAGTTTCCCTGATAGAAATGTAAGTGGAAGTGTATGTTGGCATTTTACTCATATATGGTCAGGCAGTTTTTAAACACTAGTAGGATAATAATTTTTTCCATTACATAAACCTAAATGATGCTGATACACCTTAAAAAAATGAATGGAAGGATAGATTAAATTGAGGGGGAAAAGATAATGTCATCAGGCATTAATGTCAAGCCCATGCTATTTGAAAAGGGAAAGAGAAGAAAGATTAAATTAATTGTATTTTAAGTTATACTTTAAATTTAGCAACGGAAGGTGACATGAATTTAGCTTCAACGTGACCCTCAGAAAAAAAGCATGACTATTACTCGGTGTTGTCTTTCATTTTGCTTACAGGCATCATAAATTTCAACTTTCCCTATTTTCTGCACAGTCTCTCCTCTTGGCACTTAGTTCTGAATTACTGCAAGCCTCCTTTCGACTGCTTTAACAAAGCAAACTATGTCTTAGACACATCAGAGGTTGCTGCAATGGTTATTTTCTTTGCCTGTCATTATTACCATGTTACTCCGCTCTGTGTTGATGTAGTCCCTTCTCTATGGCATTGTTTACAGAACATTTGCCCTCAGCTGCAATATTTTATGACTCCTCATGGATTTCAGTCCTTACAACATCTTTCAGACAAGATTCTTTGCATCACCTATTTACTTAGTAAAAGCTCCCAAGATACACATAAATCTAATATATTGTTTTCTTTTAAAACCTTCCCCTTCTTTGTTTAGGATTTTACTTACTACAAAGCCCAGCAAAATCAGTGAAGGTACTTCAGATTCTGGTATGCCAAGATGACTTCTACTGATCCTACATAATTCCTCTTTGTTTCCCATTCTATTTGCTCTATGGGAATGCTAAACTCAGTAATTTGGACTACGTATTTCTATTCTCTTTATACAGCACTGGCATCAATAGAATCAGGAGTCCTGAAGGGCTACAGGAATATAAATAAGAATTAATAAAGGTGGTAGGC